CGTAATCGAGGAAGGCAACTAAAAAGCTGGTAGGACAATATCAAAGAGCGGACGTACATGACAGCCACCGATGTTGGAGGATCTTGTCTGTTTCTTTTGCCCCTATTTCTCCCCGTCGATTGAAGTAGGACTGATGATGATGGTGATGATGATCGTGATGATGATGATGGCTCAAATATCTCCTATCATTTCAAACCTAAAATGTGGTCTGAAAGTCTTGTCACCTCTACGAAAACGTAATGAGAACAATAGAACAACTTATACAGCAATTCAAAGCACATGCACTCAATTCAGTTTATTCATTTTCATTGAGACTATCACACAACAATAAGATCTGTACGAACACCATCATTTTCGTGTCAGCCATGTGAAATAGAAAATTATATTATTTAGGGTTGACAAGACTTTCGGTCCACCCTGTAGAAATGATAAAAATCAGAATACGGTTTGACATCAAAGCAAAAAGAAAGAAGAGGCCATGAGTTGAATATGTCAGACAAGACGCTGATGAGCAAAATGAAATCCTAAGATATGAATTAAAAATCAAGGTCGTCCAAATCAAATCTTGACAGGGCAGACGCCTGATCGCTCGTAGGAATAGCGAAGGAAATATCTTGAGATGTCGAAAGACCACGTTAGAAACAAAGTCTACTGTCTTATAAGGCAACGAGAGCTGGAGAGTTTCATCATATAGGAAAAATGTCCTACTGGAGAATACTCCAAGTGACATCGACAGAACATATGATAAATGAGAGACTTTTAGAATGGTACTGGGTAGATTAACCTTTTTTCTTCAAGAAACAGTCGGCATTCATTGACTGTTATTATTGGTACTGTCGGGTTAAAAATGGTAAAATATCCCTTAAGCAGTTTTACAGGAAAATAGACTTCTCAAGTCGACTGGATGTTTTAACTCTTTCTAAAATTGGTAGGAATTTCCTTCACAGCTCTTTGTTAAAAGTAGTGTTGAAAGTCACCATCTTCATTAAATCATTATTTTCTAATTCCTTCTAATTTCATCTACTATCCATTTGTTGTTGTCACTGTTGGGAGTATTTAAGTGATGTGTTTTTTTTCTCGCTATTTGTTAAGTATAGTAATAAGAAAAAGTCTCTTGGTAACAGTTGCGTCATGGATAAGACGATAAATTACATCCAACAGAGGGAGAGAGAGTTAGGTAGTTACCAGCTATACATATTTTTTTTAAAAAAAAGAAATTTTGTCGGCCTTAAATAACTCATTGTGGTTGATATGCCGTAAATCAAAACGAAACAATCTTAGTTTAAAAACCTTGGCGTCCATAATTTAGTGTAGATTTTTGAAAAAGCGGAAGAATGTAACGCGTAACAAATCGATAGCTACACCGGTCGCTATAATCATAAATTCTTTCATCTATCCAAAAGGTAGATATCTATTTACAGGAGGTAGATACCTATTTACAGGAGGTTTTGAGGAGCGTCGAACCACCTATTAATTGCTGGTGTTCCCAGGTCCCCCCCTTCAATATTCCGTGTTTTTCTCTTATTAGGATTTTGTGGATTTTGTATTCTTGTTTTAATCATTTCACCCCAAGCAAGGCAATAAAGCCACTAAGTTGCAAGAGGTTCTTTAGAGTTAGGGAATATGAGAAAACACACTATTATGGAGAGAGAGCAATAAAATAAATTAGAAGGCAGAATATAAAACTAATGAAAAGGAACCTTACGACACTACCATAAGCTGCATCCGCGTCCTTGGTAAGACGATAAACTACATCCAACAGCAAGGCATCTCATCAGGAGATTTTGAGGAGCGTGGACCCACCTATTAATTGCTAGTGTTTCCAGGTCCATCCTGACCCGGGATGGTAGCACCTGTTAGGGACCCATCTATGGGAAAATAGTTGACCCCCACAACTTGACTCAAAACACTATGAAACTGTAAAAATAGATTTTAATACCAGAAATACTTAAAAAATAGTATCAGCAATAAATATTTGAAAAAAGAAAATATTGCCAGAAATAAAAATCTTGTCAGCATTAAATAACCTAGTGAGGTTAATATGCCACAAGTCATAAACCAAACTATACATTTAAAAAAATATATTACCAGCTATACATTTTAGAAAAAAATTACCATCTATACATTTTTGAAAAAAAAAAAATGGAAATTTTGTCGGCATTAAATATTCCATTGTGTTTGATATGCCGTAAAATAAAACGAAAAAATCTTATTAATAGTTAGAAAAAAAGAGTTTAAAAACCTTGGCGTCCATAATTTAGTGAAGAATTTTGAAAAATGGAACATTTACTGAAGAAATGGAAGTTTATAAAGCGGAAGAATGTAGCGCGTAACAAATCGATACATACACAGGTCGCTATAATCGTAACTTCTTTCATCGATCCAGAAGGTAGATATCTGTTTTCACTATTTATATTGTTCGAAATGTTGTCTTCATATTTATTGTCACATTCACGACGTCTCGGCTGTTGTACGCTTCGGCCTTCTTCAGATCATATTAGTTGGAATTTCGACAACAGTCCGAACAATTAAAAGTGTAAATCGTTACAATATGAGAAATATAAACAGATATTGAATCAGATATTGTTATCTCAGCTTAAATTCCTCCAAGCTTGCAGGAAGAGGTGGTATTAAAGGGTGTTTTAATAACTTGGACCGATTTTAAATGCGAATTAAGTTTAAGTGTCCGTTGATTTTTTTTCTTTTCCTTTCTGATTTGACGGACATTTGGGAGATATTATTTTACATACCTAACTACCAGGACTTAAGAAACATGATCCAATACAGAAATAAATACATTTTCATCAATAACATTGATTTATTTACTGCTGACTTAGATCCGTCTTAATGAAACACCCTTATAGGTAATTCGTCTTAATGAAACACCCTTTATATTTAATTTTATTGTTTATATTTCTTCACATTGACACCCAAACATCCTGAAAGGTTCTTATTGGAGTTTCCGTTGTGAATGCCAAACAATTGTGCATGACTTTGTCAAATTTCTCGCGGCGTGAATTGCGTCATTGTGTTCTTTTTCTCACAGAGGGTGCCCAACTAACCCTGCTATGCTGTGCAGTCGACAAAATAAAAAAAACCCAAAAAAACAACGTAAATGCGAAATTAAAATATATATAATGGCGAAAATTTACCCATCACAAAATATATATATATATATATATATATATATATATATATATATATATATATATATATATATATATATATATATATATATATATATATATATATATATATATTGTGTCATCTATCATGCTTATAGCCAATCAACGACGAGAAATTTGCTAAAAGAAAAATATGCGCTATCCGGCTGAATAATTCTCTTCATTTTTCGAATATTCTGGCAGGGTGACAAAAATAAGGAACTATATACTATTTAATGAAGGAATGCAGCGCCTACTCAATTGTAGGTGTTCAGCAAAAATAAAATCCTCGAAATGAAATTCTGGCAGATTGATAAATAAAACAGCCATTCCTTCATTAGAAATTGTTTAGTTAGGGTTAGTATACGAAACTGCGCAGATTTGGATATTTTGAGCGTCTGAGAACTTTGCTTGACCAGCGACGTAAAGATTGGCCGCATCTGTATAAGCACGTTTGATTTCCTGGCAAGTGGGGCTATATATATATATATATATATATATATATATATATAATCGTTAAAATCGATAAAATTAGAAAGATATTATATAGTGAATTTAAATGCCTGAACTTTAAAATTACTGGAAGCACTAAATTGAAAAAGGTCAATATTAGATTTAATGAAAAATGTATACATACATTATAAAAAAATATACTAATCCTCTGTATATACACCCTAAATCTAATCATCCACCATCTATAATTAAGCATATACCTTTATCCATCGAAAAGAGAATATGTACAAATTCAGCAAATGAGATTTTCCATGAACATATTAATTTCTATAATGAAGCTCTAAAAGATAGTGGCTACAAAAGCCCAAAGATAACTTACATATAAAATGAAAATGGAAAGCATAGAAAAACAGAACTATGTATGTAAAAACAGAATGTATGTGCTTATAAAACTCAGTAAATTCCAAAATTCGCTTGACAGAGGAGTCTGTGTTATTTATTGACCGCAAGTGACCTATTTTTGGATTATTGTGATTTTTTCTACGAACTTTCTTCTTCTTCTTACTAGTTTAGTCGATTTATTTTTTCTTTCATTAATTCGTTTCTTTTGTTTGAATTATTGTTTCTTGGCTTTGGCCAACATTTTTATTTTTTGTCCGGTTTGGCAAAGTTTTACCGGACTACTGCTTCTTTTTGTTTTCTTTCGGTTTATTTATTTATTTATTTTTTCATTTTTCTCATTTACAGAAAAAGAATAAGTAACGTTTAAGAAAAGAGAAAAAGAAAAAAAGGATTTTTGAATTTTTTCCACTTTTTAATTTATACGCTGCCGTGTTTTATTTTCGATTTTTTTTTTACCTAATTCCAGTTGGTTTATTTATTTTTCTTTCTTTAGCGACTCCGCTAGCCTTAATTTATTAATTTTTTTTTGGTTTGACTAGTTCCAAACCAGATTCTGTATTTTTTCTTTTTCGTTTGCTTTTGACAGTTGACTTTATTTTTTGACGTGTAAAAAAAAAAAAAGAAGGTTTTTCTTTCTTTTTTTTTTTTTTAATTTTGAATTATTTTTATTTTTTTCCCTTTTTTTTGGTCAAAATTGATTTGTATTTTATTTTTCTCGGCAGCTCTTTCACACTATCTCGATTTCTATTAATTTTAACTTTTAAAGTCTTACCGGACTATTTATTTTATATTCTTTCATTTATTTACTTAATTTAGCTAGTTTAGGTTAATCTAAATACTTTATCAGTTTTTATTTAATTTTAATTTGGGTTAACTTTTGTTTTCCCAAGTTTTATTTTTTTTTTTTTTTTTACGCGTTTCACCCCAAGCAAGGCGGGGAGCCACTAGGACGCAAGGGGTTACAGAAAATTTGGAGCAAGATTAGAGAGGAGTGATAGAAGAAAGGGTGAGGCGAAGGATAGTGGATAGATCAAGGCAATTGGAGATACAGAGGCCAGTGAGAGAGAGAGAGAGAGAGAGAGAGAGAGAGAGAGAGAGAGAGTACCGGGATTTACAGTCTTTATTTTAAAGTTTATTGCTTTTTGTTCTTCCTTTTTAAATAGTACTTATAATTAGTTTATAAATAGTTATTAGTTTATTTTTTAACTCGTGTAACCAGACTTTGTGTTTTTCTTTTTTTATTTGTAATATTTGTTTGATTTCTTTTAATTTTTAGAAGACTCTAATTTTTTTTATTTTTGTGTGTTCTTTATTATTTTCATTTTCCCTATCACTAATTCTTTCCTTTTTGCACTAGAATTGGATAAACATTTAAGACTCGCTGTGTGGATTATTCCTTCGAAACATGGCCGACAAAGCGGGTCGGTTTGTAGTAAAAAAAGGACATTTTGGGGGCTGCCGCTAATGTCGACCCTCGGTAAAAAAAGTCTACCAAATGGGGAAATGCTACCAATAAAAAATCCAGTAGATACGGCAAATGTGCTTGATTCTACTAGTTCTAGAAACGAAGAGACTATGCCAGTCTCAAACAATACTAATGTCGACAAGGTGCCATAGGAGGCACAAGTTCAGGCGAAAGCCGGGGAATCGCCCTCTTATTGGAAGTCATCATCGAGATGTATTGTGAATATCGTGGAGTTCTTGGAAAAGCTAGGGGCTACGGCCATCTTGTAAAAGAGGATGGGCTCCTTGGAGACGTCCAAGGACTAAAGGTATTCGAATAGTGAATGGTGTCGATCTTCGTGGTTGACAAGCGTACGCCAAAATTTGTCGCTCAACGAAAGGCACAGAGATAAAGTCACTTTTGTCCCTGGTGATTAAACCTCAAAGAGTTATGAAGAGTTCAGGTTTTTTTTCCTGAAGGACGTACTGCTGCCCACAGCCGAAGATTGCCTCGAAATGGCAAAAAAGAGTTGACTAAAAAAGACCTTATTCTAAGAACAAAATATGAGGGTCGGCGAGGGACCACAGTAGCTGTATTCGAGGTCCCTCCTCAGGTAACGGGAAAGCACCTGGCTGCATTTTTCATGCATCACGGCCAAATTTTAGGTGACCTCTGCGACAACCTGAACGGGGTGTGGACATTTGACATAATGCTCGGTCGTTTGGCCTTCCTCTCCATCCCCAACTGTTTGGATTTTTGCAGGCAGAATGTCGGTCATCGTGACCGGTAGAAAACCTACTTGCTGGAGGTGTGGAGAGACTGGTCACCTCTCCTCCTACCCAGGGCACAAGGCCCCTGGAGTTCTGGCCGCTGGCGGCCGAAATTCCCCTCTGGCCGAGACTGTAAAATCTGCGAAACCTGTAATGGGCTTACATGCGACACGGGCAGGTAAGGACAATCTTTCGGTTGAGTCTTCGCCCACATTTCCCACAAACCGACGCCTTCCGCAAGTGCGGATAAGGAGAAGGAAGAAGGGAAAAAGCGTGTCACTCGTAGGGGCAGAGGTAAGAGCTGAACTGCGCGGCATCTGTCCCAGTATGACCCCAATGAGTAAAACACCCATAGTCCCATTCCCTCTACCAGCGCTTAGGGCGACGCCCCGGAACGTATGAAAAAGCTACATCAGTAAAAGACCCTTAGAGGCAAAGCGGGCGAAAAACCAAAAGACCCATGTACACACCTACACCGACGCCTACACAATCTCCTCAAATAAAGAGGAATAGAAGCCCTGAAGTTCAGGTCTCTTCAGAGAAGAGAAAGTAAAATATCAAGCCACCATATCTCCCAGGGGAAGAAGTTTGTCGCGTAACCTGGGAAGAAGCAGAAATGGTTTTTGGTAAACAAGGAACACGAAAGTATTAAAAGTCTTATGGAATTGAAGTGCCCGACAACTTCAAATCAGCTAGGAGAATTCTGACCGTCGTTCGATCTGGCCCGTGTACGCGGGAGATTTGGGGGGAAGATAGAGGAGGTAAACGCGTCTCTGAAATTGGTGCCCCCGACTGCCTACTTGCTTGACCCTCAAATGACGGAAATGAAGAAGCATTATACAGGGAGGATCCCCGTTTTAGTTCAGACATCCCTGTATAGAACACTTAAATTAAGCCATCCTACGAAAATCGGCAGCTTGACTTGTGATGATACCGTCGAAATTGAGATGGCGTCTGGATCAGTTGGACGTGCGGTCGGTGTTCTCACCCTGCCTATGTTCTATTCTGGAAGTCAACCCTAATTGGTTTGTTAATGTCAATCTGGTAGTCAAGTGTGAATGCCCAAGGCCCGAGGTAGGAGTCTCGAAGGGTGAGGTTCTCTCACGATTTTTCAGCGCTTAGGGGTGAATATATGCTGTGTGCAAGAGACCCGTTTTTATTCTTGCGATTATGAAGGCATTCTGTCTAGGGTTTTTTTTCTCTCTATTCAGCATGTTTTGATGGACGCTTGAGGGGTGTCTTTTGGCTGGTGATAAATACTTTGAAGGTTGCGTGTGCTCTTGTCTTCGTGGATATTATACAAACGTTTTGCAGCTTGTCCTGTCTAGTCTGATTGGCTCCGAGCAGACTTGTGATGTGAAGGACAGGGCTATTCAGGACAAAGTACATATGGTCCGATTGATTATAGAGAAAGTCGACAGTGAAAGGGAGCTGATCAATTTGGATCAGTTCAAGGCCTTCGATAGGGTTGATCATCGATTCCTGGAGGTGTTCTTTCGGCTGCCGGTTTCGTGCCTAGCAGTCGCTCCTAGCATTCGCTCCTGGATCCGTTTTCTGTATGCCACTCGCGATGCGCTGATGGAAGTGAACAGGATAAGATCGGAACCTTTGGTATTGTCTCAATCCATTCGTCAAGGTTGTCAGCTTTCGTCTATGTTTTACGTTCTTGCGTTGGAACTTTTCCTTAGCAAGTTAAAGTCGAATCCGTTCCTACGCGGAATTTCCCTACCAGGGGCTACTACCTATTCTGCATATGCTGACGACGTTTCGGTTCTTGTGTTGAGCAGAGCCGAAATTGAATAAATCAGCAAAGAAATCAGTGGTTCTGATATGGTGACAGGGACCAAGATCAATCGCGATGTCTGTTGGCTTACGGTCAGGTTCGTGGAAGGGAGTTTCTCTTCCCGGAAATTTACGCGGGACGGATGGGCCGGTCAAGATTCCTTGCGGCTGGTCCGGTCCACATATCCAGTTGGAAAGGAATTGGTCGGAGGTTCAAGAGAATGCAGAGACCGCAAGTAAACTGTGGTCTCGGAAGAATCTTTCCTTGAAAGGGAGGGCGGAAGTATGTGTTTCACAAGCTTCTCCTTTACCGAATCTCTGTACTTTCACTTCCGTATGCCACACTAATGTCATTAGTAAGGCACTTGTTCTCTTTCTTGTGGAGAGGCTAAGCTGCTAGGGAGATCTGTTGCCTTTATCCATCTGAAAGCGGTCTAGATATGCCTAGCATTGAGATTCGTCAATATATGCTTCGCATTCGGGTTCCTAGAAAGAATGAGTCGCGAATCGGATGAGGAGGGCGCCTTCTGGAAGGAAGACGTCCGTAAAAACTTCCCATCACTGAGAAGTGTGCACTCATGCACGGAGAAGGCCCACCGTTTACCCCGAGCCGAATGCTCCTTCTACCGTAAATATCGTCTTCCTGTGAAACCCCCTCTTACGGGCGTCGGATAGCCTCTCCAACTTACAGGCGTTTTCTAGACTGGCATTATATCAGGTGTTAGTCAGGGGTTCGTTTATGATGATCTGATTGACGAGATCGGTCTTACGAAGCATGAGGATGGCTCAATATGGCCTTGGGCGCCCGGGTTGAAATGTCTCAATAACGACGAGGCATCCTTCACCTGGCTGGTGACGCGTGGGGCTATCAGGGTCGCGGGCTTGGAGAAATCTCCAAACTGCCGACGCTGTGATGAGGTCGAGACCCTGGGTCAGGCTTTCTTTCATTACAGGGTGGTAGCACAGTTGTATAGGTTTGTTGAAGGCCTCATGGTTCGTATGCTGCAAGACTCTTCTGTTTGTAGCAATGTGTCACCACAGATGACAAAGGCTGAACAATATGTTCCACTGCTTCCTAGGTGTTATGGGAGTCGTGATTTGGTCGACACGTCAGAAGGGATTCTATGGAGGTGAGAAGTTCACTTCTTCCCAACTGATCCTGTATTTTAAGCATCAGCTTAAAGTCAAGATTAGGACGGAAAGGCGGCGGCTCTCTTCATAAGAATTTGGCAAAAGGTGGCAACCCATCGCGATATTAGGCTAGTTTAGTTTTGGTTTGAATCTTTAGTTTCCTTTTTCTGGTTAATTTAGCTAGTATGCTCATTGGCTCCTTTTACTTCTGTCCCCCTTTTTTTTAGTTTAATTCCCCATTCTCTTCCTCGTTAGGGGGTCAGTGATGTCAGTTCTCTGGTAGAATCGGGGTGCCTTTCGTTTCGCGTGCGTGTTTTTCCTATTTGTTCCTGTCTGCTTGTTTGTGTTAGTGCTTGGGCTGGAATTAATGGCTTTTATACTATTATAACCCCGCATTTTTTCGTCCAGTTAACTGATGTTTCTGCCATATTTAGGACGGTGTGATGTTTTATTACTAACATTATTTTGATTTGTTTTCATGTAAATAGAACTTATTCATATTGTAAATACTCATTGTAGATTTTTTTACATTTTTGTTTTATTCCCCTCCCCCATAAAGACAAAGAAATATACACATGGCGACAAGTTACGGTTTCATAGACACATTGAGGTCTTATGGTGGATGTAGTAAGAAATTTAGGAGATAATGTGCTGTTTCGGTGTTAGGACTATTGTTGGTATGTTTGGGTCATTTTCGAGGGTAGCTAAGTTTAGAATGTAACATAGAAGAATACTGTCCTTTTCCTCAATCCCCTTTTTTTGGACTTGTGCCACGTTTTGTACTATAGTACAAATAAATATCTATTCCAAATTCGCTTGAAAAAGAAACAAAACTCGGGACTTTAATTAAATTCTGTAATTGAATTTGAAGTTTTTATCTTCATTGTTTGAAACATGGTAATTCCTGTGTAGCGATGGAACCATATTTTTAAATAAACAAATTTATAATATTTATGCTCTGTAGATTTGCATTGAGCTCTGCATAGTAAAAATACAAATATTAATAAGAACACCGGATTATATATCTTACTATTCTTTCTCTTCATAATACATAATACAGTAGTTGTGCCTTTTTCATGGGTACACACTCTTCAGAGTATGCAGCTGGTCTCTCGTAATAACCACTGATATCACAAGTGTGTGTGTCGATGTTCGTGTGTGGGTGCACAGAGAGAGAGAAAGAGAGAGAGAGAGAGGGAGAGAGAGAGAAAAAAGAGAGAGTAAGAGAAAGTGAGAGAAATAGAGAGAGATATACAGACCGGGAGAAAGAAAAAAACAACTAAATTGAGAAATTAAAAAGGAGGAATATTCATTTTTATTTTAAGCTTTAAAATCAGATAACATGATTATTGAAGTATAGAAAATAGAATATATATAGATATATATATTAACTGATTTAAAAATATGGTGTGTACCGATGAAAGGATATTTTTAAATCAGTTAATTTATAATATTTATGCTGTAAATTTACATTGATACTCTCTTGTAAAAATAAAAAAAATATCAATAATAACACCGGATTACATATCTTACTGTTGTTCCCTGTTTCACTACGATATATATATATATATATATATATATATATATATATATATATCATAATTAAGTAATTCATCGAGTCTAGAAGAAACCTCAACAGAATGCAGAAAGTACTAGACAGCTGTTTCGTCCTATATTTGGGAATCCTCCCCACTACTGGAGAACTGAAACCCGAACAGATATGATAGGAGGCAACCAACATACCAACTGTACTAATTGTACTTCGGTGACGAAGAGGTAACGAATTAGACTCGATATAGCGCCGCTCGATCACAAGTGGAACTTCTCCGAGTTTCTCTTTTACCCATAAGACTGTGCCGCCCCGAGCTACGATTACTATCCCCAAGCCGCTCACTCCAGAGCATTAGAGGCCGGTTCAAGCAATATATATATATATATATATATATATATATATATATATATATATATATATATATATATATATAGCAAGAGAGGGAAAGAGAGAATAAAATCTTACACTGTTAAAATCTGAAAGTTATTTTGGTCTCAGAATTTTTGCGACGAACGCCATTTCTTTGTTATTTTTACATAAGCTCCACTTACGACTGCTTACTTTTACAGTAGCTGTTTCCATAGATCTAATCCCTTTTGACAGGAGAAAGCTAGAAAACAATTAAATGCCATTTTCCGTCCAGTTTTTAATAGGTTTTTGGTTTTTATCCTATGTGTTTTGCTTTTTTTTTAATAATTTTGTGTTCTTTTCAGAATGCTCTATATCTACAATGGCACCGATATATACGAATATGTGTAGCGACTCAAGAAGTAAGATCCAAATGTTCAGTGGACTTAATGCATGGAATGGGTACCATATATCGAATTTCTTTTTTAAATAATTTCCTGGGTACTACATGATTTGAAATGAGTCTAAAACGAACAAATTAGCAGATGGAGCAGGTTGTTCAAATCCCTGGGTTATTTAATGCCGACACATTTGTTATTGCTGGTCATTTTTTTATTGCCGGTAATATTATTCTTTCAAAAAATCTAATTCTGTTAATATCTTTCCTTCAAAAATTTATTGCTGGTAATGTATTTTTTCAAGAATCTATTGCTGGTAATGTATTTTTTCAAAAATCTATTGATGGTAATTTTTTTTAAAAAATATATAGCTAGTAATAGTTTTTTTACATGTATGTGGTAATATATATATATATATATATATATATATATATATATATATATATATATATATATATATATATATATATATATATATATATATATATAAAGAAAGAAAGAACAGTAAGATATATAATCCGGTATTCTTATAGATATTTTTATTTTTATAAAATAGTGGGGATAGTAAATTTACAGAGCATTAATATCCATTTTTAAACATGGTTAGAACTGTGTAACGAAAAAAACACATTTTAAATCAATTAATTTATAATATATATATATATATATATATATATATATATATATATATATATATATATGCTGGTAATAATTTTTTCTTCAAAAATCAATACTGCTAATAACTTTTTACAAAATATTTCTGATATTAAAACCTATTTTTACACTTTCATAGTGTTTTACCCCAGTTTGGGGGTTAACTATTTTCGCATAGCTGGGACCCTAACAGGTACTACCACCGCAACTCAGGTTTGACCTGGTAACACCAGCAATTAAGAAGTGGTTCCACGCTCCTCAAAACCTTCTGATCAGTTGCCTTGCCGTTGGACGTGGATGCAGTTTAACGTCTTACTCAGGAGAGAAAAATCCTTTGAATTTCACAGCATGTTTATGTTAAAATTCCTGGGAACGGCAAAATAAACTGTGAAATTAAAAATAACTGTAATAATAAAGCTAATTACAATATTGAAATAAGGCATTTCTATATGACATTTATTAACCTGAAGGTTAGTGTTGAATTTAATATAATCTTTCGCGTAAAGCTGCTTTAACTAAAGCTATAATTAACTTCCAGCTATCTAAAACCGCAAACTTTAATAAGTTTCTCGGATCTAAATGCTCGAACCGGGTCAGCAACTTTCTGTTGGATAATTATTTTTTCTGTGAGGTAATAGTTATAGATTTTCTAAATTTCTATGAGAGGGACTAACTCATGCAGTAACCAGACTATGATTTTAATTTCCTTGAAGGATACTGTATGTTGCTAGGTAGGTCAACACTGAAGATTAAATTGACGACACAAAATTATCTGCAAATCGAACTTGCTAATCCTCTATTTTTTGCAGCCTTTCTTCGATGCACTGGTTCCATTAAGTGGAAAAGTGTATACTCTTCCCAAAGTTGAATATTTCGAAATATCGGATTGTCTTAATCGATCAAATAACCATTCCTTGCTTAAGTCTCTCAGAATTTTGGTTTAAAAGATACGAAGAATATAAAACAGGCTTATTTTTAGTGTATTTGAAACTAAGATATTTTACTTTGGAGTAATCGAGCGAAAAAACGGAGTTATTTGACCAAACAGCGCTGGACGTGTAGGAAATACGGAATAGAAAATAATTCAAGCATCGATTGGAGCGTCGAAGAGGAAGGTGTATAGTAAAATAACCTCTTCTGATTGAAGAGTTCTAAATGGGCTTATGACTGAATGAACAGGTGAGAGAAAAGCACCATTGCTATCAGAGTGATTCGATTTACGTGTGTCCATCATGATTGATCAGGTTGAGCGCACCTCGGACGATGAATAGATTGAAGGGCATTCGAAGTGGCCGCTTGGTAAATTGTTAACTAACCTTTCTCTAGAAGGCCTTCACGAATACTTCTCAAACTACCTCTTCGTAATCTCCGTCAACTTTTCGTGTTTTTTTTTTCCTTCGGATTTTCTAATCGCAGTGATTCCCTGTTTTATTTTATATCACTACTTATATTTTTCGCATGCCTCATCTTGTCCTTTCATTATTTTTAGTATGATTAAGTGTGAGAGAGTCAGGCTACAAATTTAAACTGGCTTGCGAAAATACTCAGTGCGATATACCGATAATATATGCTAGTCTGACAAGAGTATGCCAGGCATGTTCACCACGGTTAAATTAGTGCGTCATAGCGAATAGGCTTTGATAAAAGCATCACAATCTTGCAGGTGAGGCTTAGGTAGAAGTTCGTTCATGTCGACTAACCGGATCCAATCAGACAGTCGATGTCGCTCCCAAGTATAACAAACTACCTTGGTTAAATACCTCTTTTTATCTCTGAATTAATCCACAGCAAATCGCAACAGAAGTAACCCTCACCACATGATGTTTCCTAACTAATTAGGAATAAAGTTACACAGTACATCAAATCCGAATGTATAGTCTCAGCTCAAAAGGTTTGTTGACAGGCTGCAGTTTCTTCTAGTCAAACGCTTGCAGCTTAAAAATTACCTTTCGGCTAGATGGTTACCCAAGAAAAAAAAAAAAAAAATTCTAGCAGTAAACCAGATTTTATTATTAATAAAACCTGCTGCTAGAAGCGAGCGAGGTTAGTGGTTAAACAGTTCAACAGCCGTCTTCCTTGTCCGTTCTGTGAGGACCGCTTCGCTCCTTCTGCGTGACCTTTCGTGTGTCGATCAGTTTTCTAGATAAAAGTTTTCTTTGTCTTGTCGTCTCCGTCTAAAAAAGTAATTTATCTGCCTACCGTGACATTCTCCCTGTCTGAAACCTTTGCTCTCTACTTTGAAGTTGATTTCACATTCTGATAATCATCGGTCGAAATTGTTAATCATTGTTTCGACAGGTCCGGCTGTTTTCAATTTAATAAGACTTCAGCTGACTCATATTGCTAGAGAACATGAGAAAATAGTAAATGCCAAGCAACAGCAAAGCAAATCCGTATGGAGCAGGATATTTTCTGTAGCTCATCTCAATTCAACAAGGAAAAATTAGTTTAAAATAAATCCATTAAGGTACAAACATCATAAGAGCGTTAAGTTGTGTAGCATTTGGTTGTTATTATCATGGCATAGGTTTGCTTGTTCTTTCGCTCTTATGTTATTGAACGCGTCCATCACACCCTGCAATAGCTTGCCAGTCTCCTGCCTATAGTAGACAGAGTAAATATCTAAATATGTTTAACTTTAGGCTGCTCATTCCGGGTGCATACTTTTGTGTTTCTAGCGAGAAAGGAAGAACGAAGGAAAAGATGGAAGAGACGATAAAGCTCTCATGTGTTTAAGGTTTGTTTCAGCGAAAGTGAAAACTGTGTAAATAACGATAATAAGAAAGAAAGAAAGAAAGAAAGAAAGAAAGAAAGAAAGAAAATGGTAGATAAAAGCGATAACTAGTAGGAAAGAAAGAAAGTGTGATCTACGGAGGAAGAACAAAATGAATATTTTAAATGACAGAAGGGAAAATAAAGAAAAAAAGAAAGGAAAATATGATGAATAAAAAGAGAGAAGGAAAGAAAATAGGCACGAATAGTGGAGATGATAATAAGAAAGAAAGAAAGAAAGAAAGAAAGAAAGAAAGAAAGAAAGAAAGAAAGAAAAGGGAGAGGAGGCTTTAATATCTATTGGAGTAAAATGGAAAATCTTATCAAATTTTGAATCTTTTCATTAGTACCCACTTACTAAAGCAGCCATATTTATGATTGCAATATTTTTTGTTGCTCTAAATTATTTAATAGTGACAGTGGAAACTTCCACGGATATTGTATAGTTCAGAAATTTTCAAGGTGCTTATTCAATCGTTGTATTAAAATAGGAAATCCGTCAAATTTCCATATGTTTGTTAGTTGCTATTATTATTGTTTTTATTAGTATTATTATTACTGTTATCACAGTATTTAATATTATAATAATAATCATTATCATTATTTATTAATATTAGACTCGTCGTCATTAACATTATTATTATGGTATCGGCATGTAATAAATCAGTGGAATTTCTGTTCTTGAGTCATGGTGTCAATATGACTCCACAAAGCTCAAGAGAATCCTTGCAGAATAAAAACTGCCGGTTTCCTTGAGTACTATCATATTGGACTGGATTCCAACATTTCCTGTGTTCCATAGATTTTTCCAACTCCCTAGACAGCTCCTCCTATTTTTCATTATTCCCAGTTTTTCTTGTATCATATGTAACAGTAAAATCAACAATTTGACAATTAATATTTTCATTATCTATAACGTCGGGTCTCCATAATTCAATAGCATCATCTGTCCGGACTGAACATTTCCCATAACATCTTGTGTCCTTTTCTGCAACTGCTTCTGGCTGATATTCACACTTTTTTTTTCTTACACTTTGAATCCAAATTAACGACATAGTTCTCAATGGTTTCACTTAGCAATCCAATCATAACCTTGTTTATATATATTCTGTACCAAATTGGAATATAGAATTCTTATTCTTATTATTTGCATTCTTGATCAAAATCATGGTGGTCATCTCAAGATTCTGAGTGACAGTATGTATTTTCACATCGCCCAACATCTTAAACAATATTCTCGCCTACCCAAGAGAACACTTCTTATGGATTTAAAATTTGCCGTAATCCTATGTGTATGAGGCATAGTTTTTCGCCCAAAATCATCTCCACATGTCGATTGCATCTTGTACTTTAGCTCTGAATTCAAACCCATATCTTTTAGGATTCAAAACGTAATAAACCAGGTCAAATTAGATGAGTCTCCCAGTGTGATAATATTTATCTAATAGCGTATTAAGGCAAGGAGAGATAATTTTTTCATAATCTTATATCTATAATTCTCAAAATGTGTGTGTGTGTATATATATATATATATATATATATATATATATATATATATATATATATATATATATATATATATATTTCCTTTCATTTCGTTGTTGGAATTGTTACCTGATGATCCGGAGTCCTTTAAAAGGATTTTGGTGAAATAAATTATTGTAATGGTACCTTAAAGTGGTCTGTTTTTCATTAAATATATATATATATAAATTTATATATATATATATATATATATATATATGTGTGTGTGTGTGTGTGTGATCGGATGTTGTTTATACGTTTTCATAGTTTTCATCCGATTTCGATGAATTTTTTTAGTTTGATAGATAATTTTCAATGTCATTCTGGAGTCCAAATTGGCTTGAAAAAATGACAACCTTGAAAAATCGAAAAGAAACTGATTTTTTACACTTGGCGCAAAAAATCAAAGGCAAAATTTAATGTATGTAAAGAACAGCGTACAACCAATTTATAGAGTTGAAATCTAAAGCAAAAAATTATCGGAATTTTAAAAATAAATTATATTATAAATAAAAATCATCTCATATTAATATTATGACGGCTAGGGGAAGCGATTCCTTCCTTACAAGATTGAAAATGCAAAAACGGCATTTTTCAGGGTCACCCCCATTCAAATTATTAGCCCCCCGCCGCATTTGGAGATGTGCCTCAGTTGCACCCAGCTATTGTTAAGAATACTGAAAATTCCCAGTAATGAAACACCAGGTTGAAGACGGGTTATACTGCCAGTGTTTTAATAAGTGTGAGAAGTATGCCTTGACATGTTAAGAGACTTAAGTCACTTTAAATACTAATGTTGTTTGATATTTACTCATGACCTACTGACGTGCTTATTACTAATTTTCTAAATAAAGTCATGGGCAGATTTCGAGCATCATGCAAAACCTTCTGTTCATTTTCTCTGCTGTAAAATTAAGGGCGTTTTATACATGAAAACAAGCTTTTTTTTTTTGAATTTTCTTGCTTTTTAAACTACGTCTTATACTCCTAGCGTTCTATATACAAAGGATTACGGTAATTTACTTCTTGATTCCAGAATTCTCGACCTGAGTGCGTTTATGGCTAGAATAATGGGCACCCTTCTAACCATCATAGCTACCGAGCGAGGTTCTAGTACTTTCCATTTATTGATATTGAGATTTTGGCATTAAATAATCCATACTGATTAATATAACGTTAAACTAAAACAACAAACCAACTTGATATTTTTTTAAACCTCATTCATGTTGACAGTATTGATTTCAAACACTCATGTCTCATGAACGGTCTGTTCGATTCTGCATTTTGATACCGGATTCCCCGAAATGTATGCGGGGCAATCCCTTTAAAAATAAAGAAAAATATGAAGCTGCAGAGATGTGGGTCTACCGCCGGATACTGAGAATGTCATTTTATTTTTTTTTTTTTAATGTTTCATGGATGTCAGTTATCGGTTATCTCCTGCTAATTTCCCTCTGAAAATTCTCCACTGCCTTCATAACTGACATCCATCAAACATGGCACGTGGAACTAGAACAATCTACCCCAGTGAGCGAAATAAAGGGTTCAATTCGAAATTCCAAACACCTGAAGAAGGCCGGAGCGTACAACGGCCGAAATGTTGTGATAAATATGGCGACAAATATGAGGACAATAGTCCGAATAATGTAAATAATGTACATAATACCTCATCTCAGAAATATAGACAGACTCTGAATGAAAGGAAGTTGTCGAAAGCTATTATAATGTCAAAAAAGGACATGTCATACAAGAGAAAAAAATGAGGATAAGGCTCATTGTTGAATATGGTGTTTGGTATGGGTATTTTTCAGTACACCCGCGTTGCTACCGAATGTGACTGAAGGTATCTCTCTATATTTGAGAGATGGGATACACATGGCACAGTGGATAAAGGCGTGAGTTAGATCCAGTGACAGGACCCAAAGAGTGTGAGTTCAATACCCAATTAAGCCAGTGGAGAACTTGGAGAGGGGAATTAACAGGAGATAACTGACAACTGACATCCATAAAACATGGCACGTCGAACTAGAAGAGTCTACCCCAATGAGCGAAATAAAAGGTTCAGTACGACATTCCAACCGCCTGAAGAAGGCCAGAGCGTACAACCTCCGAAACGTTGTAATAGACATGGCGACAAAGATGAGGGCAATAGTCTGAATAATGTAAATAGCGACAGAATGTCTGTTTAAAGTAGGTTTAACGGCAATAGCGTGGAAACATTACCCAAGACACCTTGGCACTTCTTTTGAAGATGCCTCAAGCGACAGACCATAAACCCAGTTTCGTCTCTAAGGAGAGATACTGCCTGGAGGGAAGATGCCCTTGGAGTTAGGGGTTAATATTTTGAAACTTAACTGCTTAGGCTTTTGCCTACATCAGCTTTTGTATGGATGTCATAACCCCTAAGTATTTAATCTTTTTTTTTCTTTGTTTGACAGGACAGTTTTTAGTTTCTTTTTCAGCCTATTGATTAACATTTACTAACTCATGATATTTGCCTAATCCTTAATATGTGACAACAATATTGTTGTGTCTCAATATCTGTCTATATTTCTGAGATGAGGTATTATGTACACTATTTACATTATTCGGACTATTGTCCTCATCTTTGTCGCCATATTTATTACAAGGGTTCAGTTCGACATTCCAACTACCTAAAGAACGTACAACGTTGTAATGAATATGGCGACAAAGATGAGAACAATAGTCCGAATAACGTAAATAGGGTTGTTGTGTCTCGCTTTGATTTCTCTCAGGGCAACTTCAAATATTTGCTGATTAAGTAGTATATTGCCCCCTCACTTTCTTTATAAAGGTGGTATTTGATATTTTATTTATTCTTCAACGTTTCTGTTCCCTTCATTATAATATATTTATCATGGGAATTGTAATTATGGAATTTTGTATCTCCCATGAGGTCTTTTCCGCTTAGCTGTGTCTATGATTTTTCTGTCCGTATTTTTTATATTCCGAAGTGATTTTCTGCCCTATCTCCAATTTTCCATATTCTCCATCTTTATTTTTTTTTTTTCTTGCTGCAGATTTACATATTTTTATTTCCTTGTTGCATATACTAATGAGATTTATCTTGGCGATTCAGATACAAACATATCTTCTTCTACACTGTCTTCTTTTAACATACACCTCGTCTCGACTAGAAGGCGTAGATATTTGTCTATGTACAAAAAATGTAAGTGGATAAATGATTTCACTTATTCTTCCCAAAAACGAAATAGTTCTGTATATCTCACTACAGATGGCGCTCATATGTCCATGTGTTTTTATCAGAATTCTCCTAATCACGAATCAGGGATGGAATTCCCTGCCCTACATTTCATTTTTGAAACAGAGGAAATTAATATTCTCGCCTGGTTTTACAAATATTCTGAATGACTTCCAAATTAATTATATTTTAGCATTACCTCAATTGCCTACTATTCCAACAGCACCTTGTATTAGAGACACGAGTGTACTTTTGTTTAAATTATCATATATATATATGTATATATATATATATATATATATATATATATATATATATATATATATATATATATATATATATATATTTCATATATATATATATATATATATATTATGTATATATGCATCTTATATATATATATATATATATATATATATATATACATATATATGTATATTTATACAGTATAATAAATGTATATAGATAAATATATACATATATAAAGTATTATATATATATATATATATATATATATATATGAAAAGTGTATATAAATATAAATAAATAAAAGTATGTATAATTATTTATATATTATATGCGCGGTACGTATTAGAAAGCGCTCAACATCAGAGATAGAGCTAACATATTTGGTTTGATAGATGTGAGTTTGTGACCCTGGGTTTCACGCTTTAGCGATCGTCAGACAAACTGATTAATGTTTTAAAAAATTTGGGTTTATGTAGATTGCGTGTATTGGTGTTATTGTGGAAGTGGTGGGGGAAATTTCGAACACTATATACATGGCCAAGGTAAGTACAAACAACAACACTATGAACTACATCGGTGCCACGGAAGGTCCATTCAAAATGAGGAATAACAATCGCAACCTTTCATTCAACAACAGGAAATATTCGAACAGCACAACACTTTCTACATACATATGGCAGCAAAAAGACAAAAATATCACACCAACAATAAGTTGGGAAATATTGAAAAAAGCCCCTGCCTACAACAACATTACGAAAAAATACCTACTTTGCCTACACGAAAAAGTAGCAATAATATCACACAAACAAAAAAAAGAACTTACTAAACAAAAAATCAGAGATAATCTCCAAATGTAGGCATGAGAACAAGTACCTATTATCCGAATTCCTACCAAACGGATAAAAAAGACAAACCACCAACAATCACAATTTAATTTCACGATACCATCAAAATATTTGCCTCTATCATTATTATAATTACACCACCATTAGTAATCACTTTTACTACAATACCTTTTAACTAACAATATTATCATTACCACCAACGCACAGCACCATCACTTACACATCACACCCACTATTAACATATAAATTCACTACAATCTTTATTACTCCCCCAGCATATTTAATACCTTAAAACAATATGATCAGATATAATTTCCATATGTAACCATGAGAATAAACACCTATTACCAGGCAGCTTTAATATAATAACAATAATAATTTTGTAATTAAAATATTAAAAATTATAGCAATCTCCAACTACCATAATTTTACACAGAATACCTATTATCAGGATTTATACCAAAATAAATTAATACATATAACAAAATAAAGCAAAAATAAAATAAAATACCAACAACCACTTTTTAGTTCAAGCTACCACCACTATAACTATATTCATGGTTTAACATTCCCCCACCACCGTTACTAATCATTTCTACCAATTTACAATTTCTACCAATTTACAATAACTATTAGCTAACTATCATTGTCTCCAATCCCTTGAAACATTACTATCACATCATATCATATAGACCCGTTATTAAATTGAACTACTCTCTCACCCAGCACACTGAATATTAAACTAAACATCACCATATAAATTATCCAATAATGATTACAAATTTCTACCTGTTACATATACGCAGTCACCAAAAACAAACAAATAACCAGCTTTAAATATAACATATAAACCCCCATTTTTTTTCAAAAATTTAAAAATAAATATAAATAATAATAATTTTTACCTATCATAATTTTACACAAACCCCACCACACGCATATACATACATGCGAGGAAATATTTTTCAGCGCGAAAACACTTAATATGACATGTATACAGTAACGAGACATTTCCGCCACACTTCGAATGTTTAAATTTCAACATTTCAACATACAAATGCGTATGTATAGATATAACACCACCCGTATACATACATGTGTCATAGTCGAAACTGCCCACATACATTTATATATGTATGAGTCCCGACGGACGACCAAGTATGTATATGTGTCTGCATACATCGATGTTTGCGTTAGTACGATGAATGACAAAACGACGAAATTTCCCCCACCACTTCCACAATAACACCAATACACGCAATCTACATACAACCCAAATTTTTTAAAACATTAATCAGTTTGTCTGACGATCGCGTAAGCGTGAAACCCAGGGTCACAAACTCACATCTATCCAAAAAAATATATATATATATATATATATATATATATATATATATATATATACAGTATAATAAATAAATAATTAAAAAACAAGTAAAATAAATTAATCTAAATTCATCCAAATAAATAAATATGCAAACTTACAAAGCGATCCCGAGAAAGTAACCGTTAGAAAAAACAAATAAAGATAATCAATCCAAATTAATACATGAAGTAATCAACAAATTAAAAACTGCTCCCGCCAAAATAATAGAATAAACTGCAACAATCAACCCCAAAATTGAACAAATAGCTTTATCTTCCCAAACTAAAACAAAACTATTAAATAAGCAATATAAACTAATTTTTACTAAATAATAAAAACACCGATTAAAATAAAAATAAGAAAAATAAATATATAAGATATGAAATGAAAATAAAAAATAAATAATGACAAGCAAAATAATTTAACACAAAGAAATAAATAAACAATTAAACGAATTCCGGTGAAATAACCGCCAAAATAGACTACCCACAATGCACCACTGACCCGTATATATACATAGCAGAGAAAAATAACAACACTCCTGGCCTGAAGATTGCGTCTAGCATGAAACAGAGTGCCGCCTCTAAGTGTTGATTTCTATGATCACTTTTATATCTACATACGCTCTATCTCCGATTTTGAGCACAACCATAAATATAGCACACCTTAAGACTATATATATATATATATATATATATATATATATATATATATATATATATATATAGAACAATAAAAAATATTAAAAACTTAAAATCTTCAGACGCACTGGGTTGTTGATTAATATTATTTCGTTTTTATTATTATTATTTTATTTAGATTCCTCGACTAGTTTCGACCAAAATGGCCATCATCAGGAGACGAAATATTTTGCTTGCTGGTAGCAGTGAACTACAGAAATGAATGTTTTGATGGAGAAAATGAACTTTTTTTGCCTGTATTTTTTTTTTTATTTTTTTTTTTATCTTTTTTAACATGAATCTTTTAACATTCCTTGTGTTGGTCAAACAGTCTCTTTTAAGTTGTTATTTGAGATAAGAGCTGGATGGATCCATGCT